TTTACTCAAGCAATCTAACGAGGTTTCACCTCCAGCTTCCTAGCTGGAATAATATTCACAAATCCTAAGAACTGGCTGAATTTACACTACACCACAGAGCCTCAACTGACTCTGCCCTCAGGGTTTCATTCCCCCTGACTGAACTATTATCCCAGAGTCCCCTTTGACTCTGTCCTTCAGGGTCTCATCCGCCTGACTGATTTTAAACTGTCGTTTTCAAACCTTTCCTACTTAAGCTCCGCCCACCTCCTCTGGCCTGTCACCATGGCAACCTATCTCTCTCAGCTAGGTCATGGCTACAATGTAAAGCATAAACACAGTTTAAAACACAGTTATAATAGACACTTCTCTACACCTTCCAACTGAGTTAATCTTTTTTGAAACAGGAAGTTACTTCATTCTCTTGTTTCAAAGGCCTCTCCTGGACATAAAATGACACTGGAATACTCCCAAAACTGCTTCCTTTGCTGCCTAGAAGGCATTTGGAGACAAATGTTTTTTAAAAAAGCTGATTTGTGGAGTGAGGGTACAGCCCTCCAAGGTCTCGAGGCTAATACAGTCCCCTTACTCTTTCACAGTTGACCATCCTTATCTAAGGTTTTGAAAAGCAAAATAGAAGACATGTTTACAGTGAGTCTTTGGTGTCTGCTAGTATTTGGTTTCAGGATCCCCAATAGATACCAAAATCCATAGATCAGGCATCCTCAAACTGCGGCCCTGCAGCTGTTTGGTCCTCCAACTCCCAGAAGCCCTAACAAGCTTGTTCAATTGTCAGGAATTCTGGGAGTTGAAGGCCCAAACAGCTGGAGGGCCACAGTTTGAGGGCCGCAGTTTGAGGATGCCCGCCATAGGTGCTCAAAATCAATGAATACAGTGGTGTAATAAAGTGGTGTCCTTTGTGTAAAATTGGTAAACAGCTCAAACAACTGCTGGAGAGGATCTATGAAATGGGAGGCTATGGCAAGGTATGCCTACACATCAACATGATAGTGTGGGGCAAAATCAAAGTTTGCACTTAAGAATTGTGTTGAATGTTTTCAAGTAGTG